GGCTCCGGGTCCCTAGTTCGTCGCCTGAGATGCAGGCAATGTGTGCTACAATCATCTAGATGTAGGCAACCCCCGGTGCATCCCCACCCTCTCAGCCGTACGTACCTTACGCCGCGCCTGTGTCCTTTGATATGACGTCCGCAGTTTCGCAGTCTCACTATTGGAAGGGTTATAAAATAGAAAGTACGTCTTAATTTCTGTATGTGTATCCTTCCTTTGTCAGTTTTGAGCGCACTTTATATACACACTTAAATTTCCCTTAATTTACCCCTATTTTTTGACCTTTCTTTGCAGTTTGTTTCGACTTGCAATATTACATCCACATCACTTATCAATGGCCAATACTGGTCCTAATAATAATAGACCTGGTACAAGTGCACATCCACCTGCCCTTGTACCGCTGGCGCAAGTAGCGCAGCTATTGCCAGACCAACCACCCACTCCCCCACCAACCCCTACTCCTACTGGTCCCGCAACCAGCGCACCTACAAGTGGAAAAGGGAGTAAAAAGGCGAAATATGATGCTGATGTAGCCGCTAAGGAGGAAGTTCGTCAGAAATTGCTCAGCAAAGATTACAGCACCATTTTAATTGATGAAGATAAAAAAGATCAAAGTCTGGAATGGCAAAAATTTGAACAAGTGGTTGATGAATCGGGCAAACCGCTTAAGTTTGTGCGCTGTAGAAATGTCAATTGCAGGCTTATTAAAATGCTAACCTCGGGTAGGGGCAATCTAGCAAACCATGAGTGCCAAGTTAAAAGTTTAACCAAAGATCCCCCTTCGGAAGTCGCTTTGAAAGACTTCCGGAGTAAGCTGTCACAGTTGTGCATAGGGAAGCTTTTGCCAATCAGAACTGTAGGCTCTGCTGAGCTGCGTGCAGTTATTCAAGCAGCCATAGACATTGGCGCCGACTGTGGCCACATCAGTGTCAATGACATAATTCCTTGCTCCAATACAACTACGACGGACATAAAGCACTTGGCAGACAAGGCACGTGCCTTTCTAGTAGACAGATTAAAAGAAGATGTGGAGGATGGGCTTGTTTCAGGAACAGTAGATTGCTGGACAGAAAACTGCCATAAGCGTAAGCTCTTAGGGAATACGTTAAGGCACATCACTGAGGAATTTGAGCTGAATGACCACTTGTTATTCATGTCACACTGTAATGCCAAATCTGTCGACCATGTAGTTTTAAAACAAGAAATAGAATCAAACATGGCTCGTTTCCAACTCACCACCGAGAAAGCCCACTATGTGTCCGACGACGGAGCAGATATTGTAAAAGCACTGGAGTTCAATAGTAGGAGCTACTGCATGGATCATGCTTTGAATCTATGCGTGAAAAAGGCCTTACAGCCCCAGCTGACGAAGCTTGATTTATACGGATAGTTGACGCTGTAAGTAAGGCTGTTAAAATTATCAAGTCTTCGCGGAGAAAGTCTCCTCAGCTCTCATCTCTAAAGAAACGGCTAAAAAATGCTCCTAGTACTAACCGGAAGACTCAAAAAGTATTCAGATCCTGTTTACCTATGCTGAAATCAGTTCACCCTGTTCTGAAAAAGGTAAAGTAGCGGTACACTTTCTATTGAGTTGGGTAGGGGTTTGAAACACCCTGCTGTTCAAGTTATTTTTCTTTTGATTTCCCTTTGAAACCGGACTCATTTTTTAAAAGTTATTAAAACAAGAAAAGCAGCTGTGGTGGCCCCGTCTTGTTATTCTGTACTCGCTCTTTTCCAATAATTGTATTTAATTTTGTTTTAATTTCAGGTACAAAGAGAACTTGAGATAATGGGACGTGGTGAAATTCTGCAGAACATTTCCGCCACACACATTTTGGCCGTGATTAAAGTTGTAGAACCCATTGAACAACTTGCTAGGCAAAAAAATTGTTCTAACACATTTAATGCTTCACATTATCAAAAGATAGTAGATCTATGTCAAGATGATCCCAAAGACTCTCCCTTAGCAATAAGTATTAAAACAAACATCAAAAATACTGTTGTACACATTGTGCACATTTTGTCTGTGATAAAAAAATGCAAGGAAGTTGTCACCTTCATGAAAAATTCTGGTCTTAACGATTCTTTAAAAGGGGGCTGCTTGATACAAGAGGTGGACACTCGATGGATGTCAATACTAGGCATGCTCCGGTCTTTTTTTGTTTGGCCTGAACCGAAAGGGGAGACCGAGGAGGAGACTTTCGTGGAGGCACCACCCTCAACAGCAAAAATCGCCGAGGTTACGTAGGCATACTGTTGATGTATTATTTTGCTCTAACTGTATCTAGATGTTCTCCAACTTGTTTGTTTCTACAGATTAATGGTATCCTCGAGGACAGGGGTGAAAAGGAAAAGTTGGCGCTGAAGCTGGACGAGGAGGATATACCTCTTCTTCTTGATTTAATTCAAATTTTGGAGCCATTCCAAAAGGCTATACAGAAATTGGAGGCGGCAAACAGTATCACTATCCACCACGTAATTCCACGATACAGGTACTTAACAGCAAACATTTTTATCTACGATAGTGAATACTTTTTTCAAAAGTTTTTTTTTTTGTCTGAAATTTTGTAAATTTACTGTTGTTTGTAATTCGCACTAAGAAATCAAATGGTACATATTTCATAGCAAAAGTAAATTGACAGTAAAAATCTGCTATAGAAATTCTCATATTTTGCTATTTTAACAAATTTATTTTCTCAAAGGAAACTGAAGAAATTATTACGCCCTCAAGATGCTGACACTGCTGTCATGGCTATGTTGAGGGCGTCGTTGCTTGCTGAGCTGGAGAAGAAGGTGCCAAAGAACCTGCACATGGCATGTTTTTCTGGCCAAGATTTGCAAGCCTTCCTGGATACACAGAGACACAGCGCGCTGAGGTGGGTATATTATTTTGCAAAGGATTCAGCGCTGGCTCTCGGATTTAATTTGCAATATTAATGATATTCCGGCTTGCAGATTTTGGACCATGTTTGCACCCTGTGCAAAGAACAGGAAGAAGCTTTGCTGCGCCGGGGAAAGCCTCACTCACGTGGAGTCTCTGAGCAGTCTGCTCCTTGTGCCAAGCGGAGGAGGGCTCACGCATCATCTGATGATGAATATGAAGACCTCCTTGAGCCTGGACAAGCGCAGCAGACTCAAAGAGATGAGGTAGAGGATAACCTCAAATTGGCCGATATCTCTGTGGGGTCGGCAGATATTTTGAGCTGGTGGAAAGCACATGTAAGTAAAAGGAAAACGTCGACGCGTTAACTTATTTTGGTTTGTTTTCCATGCTTATTGACATCCTTTCTCTTTCCGACAGGCTCCGTTGTTCCCAACCCTTAGTAGAGTAGTGCGCATGATTTTGGCGACCCCGGCGTCCAGCGCAGCAAGTGAGCGCATTTTCAGTGTAGCTGGTCTGTTTGTGACATCCAGACGGTCTGGAATGTCGACAGAAACTTTGGACGACCTCCTCTTTCTCAACAGTTTCTTTAAAAAGTTTAAAATTTCTGATTTAGTTTAGTAATGGCGGGGCAGGTCCCGCGAATCCAACTCCGGGACCCCGACCCACACGCGGCGGCGCGGCTGCTAATGTCGAGAGGCCTGTGCTTTACACTGTTAACTTTCTAGTGAAATTTCTGGTGAAACCCCTTTTGATTTTTTTTAAATCCAATTTTTGAGCTAGAATTCTCATCTTCGAACTCGATCTGTCTTATTATGACACAAAACGACCCTGAAAATCCACAGTGTGCGGAAACGCTCAAAACACGGGATTAAATGGTGGTCCATGACGGACCCTTATGAAAATGTGTGATTTGACTAATTTGATAGTGCTCTTTCAAGATCTGAGCCGAAAATTTGTGTGCAAATACCAGAAATTCGTAATTTTGACAGAAAAATACCTTAAAATCACAAAAAAATGGTAAAAACTTCAAATTTTTAGTGCAAATGATAGAATGGGTGATATTTACTTGGATTCTATC